TCTCTCTCTCTCTCTCTCTCTCTCTCTCTCTCTCTCTCTCTCTCTCTCTCTCTCTCTCTCTCTCTCCTCTGCCCTTGTTCAAGAATTTCTCTCTGCAGCATATTTTATTCTCCTTTCTATTGAGAAGGACAGAGCACCCATGAGTACAAATTCTTTGGGGAGCTGAATTCCCTCATTTAAACCTCGGCTGTATCACTTAATCTGGTGTGTGTAGTTAGGCTATTTCATTATGTATGTATAGACTGAGGAACAAATGAGATTGTGGGCATGAAATCTTTCCTCTTCTTTCCTTTTTGTGTTATCTGGATGCTCACAGGGTCATCTAACGATTTTGAAGTTGTTACTTAAAAGTCTGGCTGAGATTGCATATAAATTTAATAAAGGCAGACCTAGAATCTGTATGTCTATGGAATGTCAACTAAGTTATATTTATTGATTTCAATAAAAAAAGGTCTATTCACTTAGTCCCTAAGCTATTTAAGGGTTTATATTTTCTAAACATACTATAAATGTGTAGCATTTCCCTAATTATGTTCCAGATCTAAGGACTCAAAACCAATGAATCTAATCAAAAGTGCAAGAATTAAAGACAATTTTTTTTGGTACTGAGAAAGCAGATAAAATTCTTTCTTGACATTTTCTCCAGAATTAATTCTTTGTCCTAATCTAACTGCTCTATACATTCAAAAATTCAATGTTTGAAGCCTCTGAAGGAATGGAGACACTGATAGAAGCAGAGAGTGGAAGTGTATGGGATTCTGTCCTAGCTTCTGCTGGCCAGTTTAGCACTGGGGTCCACTTACACAGAGAGTCCAAAGCCAGCAAGCAAACTTGACTGACTATGCTCCAGTACTGAACATCTGGGAAGAATGAAATGATGGGTCCGAAACTACATCAGAAAGAAGATGGAGATAAGGCCAGAAAGGGTTATAAAGACCTTGACTATGCTTGACATATAAGCAGTCAGAAGACAGATTTTCTCCCAAAGTCCCTTCTTTTGCAGAAAAGGTTTTGCTATAGACAACCCAGACATAATCAATAAGAAACCCAGTGGGTCTGGCTGCAGTGGCTGTCAGTATCTCAGCCTTTGTGATGCTGCCACTCTTTACTGTAGATAGTCATTAGCTCTGTGAACCATCTGATTTGTGGCATTCTGGTGTGATTACCGTATGATACACAGCGTCTCTTTTACTTCACTTCCTCTGGCATGTTAGTAATCAGGCCAGCCACTTAAGAAGATATCTTCTCCAAGCCTGATGACTCACACCATTGGCCTGCAAGAATAGCTCTTAGAACATCTGGATGAGTAGTCTTGATGTAATTAACTGAAGGGAGAACTCACTGTGCAGAGTGCAGATGTCAAATCACGGCATCTAGACAGGAGAGGAAGGACAGAGCTGAATAGAGAAGTGTGGCATTTCCGCTCTGCCTCCAACATACACCCAAATGTAACCCCTCCTCTCCATCTGTTACCCTGACACTCCCTGCTTCTGAAAGCCGCCATAACAACTGAAACCGCCTCAGTAAAACGGTTCTCTTTGCCTCTTATTTCACTCCTAAACTGTAAACCATCCATTTTCTATACCAGGAGAAAACTGTCCTTGTAGATCACAAATGTGACTTTGTCTTTACACTTCAAGCCCTCCCTTAGATTCACACCGCAATTAGAATAAAAATCTAAACTTCATCTACTAGCTCCAGGGTCCTGTAATATAGCCTAGACAAATCCTTTGAGAAACTATGGCAGTGGTTCTCAACCTCCCTAACACTGTGAACCTTCAATATATTATGTCATGATGACCCTCAACCATAAACTTATTTTCATTACAACTTCACAACTGTAATTTGCTACTGTTCAGAGTCATAATGTAAATATCTAATGTGCAGATGGTCTTAGGTGACCCCTGTGAAAGGGTCATTCAAAGGGGTCGTGACCCACAGGCTGAGAATCTATGATCTATGGCGTTCTACAACACCTTTTAGAAGCTACAAAATCCTATAACCTCTGCCAATCCTCCTAGAAACAACAAGGGCCTATAACCTATGCCCTATTTACGTTTCATACCTATTCTACTGGCCATACTCATTGACTGTTCATGATTAATGTATACTACTTGCTGACCTTGGCCTTGGCAATAACTTCCCCACAAAAAATCTTTCTTCCAGATATCTAACAGGCTAATATTTATTATTTAGGTCTCTGCTCAAATATCATCTCATTACAAAGGCCTTTCCCACAGCCTCTCACTCCAGCCTCTCTTACTCCTCCAATATGTTTTGTTTTGATTACCTTTTTTGCACAGACCATCATTGTATTGACTTTTTGTTATGTCCCCAACTATAATGAAATCCCCTAATAAAGGCAGAGGACTCACCAATCCTTGCTTTCCATTGGGGGAGGTGGCTGGAGGAGAGAGAGAGAGAGAGAGAGAGAGAGAGAGAGAGAGAGAGAGAGGGAGAGAGTTTGTGTGTATTAGCTAGTTTAGTATAGTGGCCAATATAAAATAGTGTTTCTCCAAATAGTTAAGGAAATAAAAATAGGAAAGAAAAAATATACTGAGGGATGAGTAAAAGTTACTACTAACTACAAACTAACTACAGACCGAATTCTAGGGCAGGCAGGCCTATACAGAAAAACTCTGTTGCGGGACTAGAGAAAGAAAAGGAAAATGAAAAGTTCTTCAAGTCAGTAATTTTCTAGAAAAGTAACTTAAGAACTATAGAATTCAAGGACAAATGTAGCAGACCAAGGCTTGATGTAGAGAAGCCTGTTCAGTTGCAAAGCTCTAGACGCTGTCTTAAGGCTCTGTGAGCTGATGTGTCGAAAGCTATCAGCTAAAGCACTGAGAGGATGTGCCTGTCTTGTGCATTTTCATCTGCTGGGGTTTTGATCCTTTCAACAGGTTAAATTACAACAGTTGGAGTCATCCTGTGCAGACCAAGAAAAGGAGCTTGGCAAGGTGCGAACTTTAAAGTTCTTCCAGAGAGGGGGAAACACAATCTCCCATCAACCTAATACATCCAGACTCAGGAACATCCTGGGGTTAACTGGTGGTTTAAAAACAAAAAACAAGGACATTAAGCACAATCCCTAGATTTTTTTCTGATGCACATTTTACAAGACACATCCTAACATCTGTGTCTAACACATGCTGGTATCTGTTCCTTTTCCAAATTCCCCTAAGTAATTCCTCTGTGGACTACATAGTATATGCTTCATTCATTCTCAAAACTGAAATGAATTTCTGCATACAACAGAAGTTTACACTGTGGGTCTGGAAGCAGGGGTGGAACATGTAGACTTCTGCTCTTATAGCAATAAACTGGGAAAGCTTTAGGACTCTTCTTTGGTTTCCCAGATAATGGAAGACTATGTGTTTGTATCTCAGCTCTGTGAAGATCAAGCTCTCTGCATAAAGGTACAGCTTCTCTGGCAAGGGACAGCAGAGGGATTGTTAAGGGACAGGATGAAATGCACCCAGGCTGCTCAAGGAATGCTACCTAGAAAAAACTGTCTCAGTGTGATACTAGGGCAAGACTGTATGGTCATCAGTCCCCAGCCTGTATCACCCTCGTGTCCTCTGAGTCTTTGTAACTACTGATCCACTATCTAGGTATCACTTTCCTAAAATTAACAATGAGCATCTCTGTATGTCTGAGCATGTCTATATGTCTGAGTAGTTACTCTTGGGAACTGACTCCTACTGAAGAGTAAGAGAGACAAGGTGGTAGTTTGAGAGGATGTAGTCATGGGAACACCAAGCATTCATTCTATAGTCTCGTGAAAAGTGTTTGCATGTTTAAAATCATCATGTCATAAAGTGCCCAAATAGTAACTATGACTCCACTCAATTCTCTTTAAAGAATTACCAGGAAGCTTTGAAGAGGATAGAAGAAGAACTGGAGACTGGATACCTTGAAAAAGAAGTGTGAGCATCAACAAAGGAACATCCTGTTTGGTGGTTAACCCCTCCTTGGCTGAGTCAGCATGAATTCTGCCCAGGTCCCCTCTGGAGATGAATGAGCCCCTCCTTTTGTGATCTGGTTAGAATCAGAGTCTTAAAAGACTATAGAAACACATTTTCCTTCATAACTTTAGCACATGGCTACATTATAAGAGCACAAACATGAATTTTAAAAAGCGGTGCTCTCTGAAATCCTTGGTAAGTGGAGTGTTCCTTACTGTTCACAGGATGATCCAAAACTGTCCCCATCCTCACTTCTCCTAAATATGTGACATCTCAACAATGATATAGGCATTAAATGCACCCTGGAGAGACTTGAGAACTGTGAACTCTACTGAGCTATGAACATTAAAAATCTAAAATGACAAGACACCTGCAAACAAGTGTGCTCTCCTTCTCAGATGGAACTAGTACACAACCAAAACAAAGAGCCACACCCCCATCACTTCCCCTTCTTTTTGAGCTAGTCTTACTGAATATGTGTTTCTGTTTATGAGATATTTGGAGGGACTTTGGCTCAACAATAAGAAGCCAAAACTGCATAATCCTCTAAGTAGGCCACTTACAAGTGGCAATGCAGAAGCCAGGTCCTAGGACATGGAATTCTTTGATCCTGAAGGACACTCTCAGGTCTTTTTAGATGCTTGCTGGACATTACATAAGGACTTCACTGTTAAGCTAAGGTTCTAGAATAGTGTTGTCTAGTAGAATATTCTGTGCCATTCAATAGGAAGCCACTATCCACAGGTAACTGACTTCTGAGTTCCGGGAAAATGGATAATGTAGCCAAGAATCTGAGTTTCTGTTTTAACTATATTTAAACAGCTATATGTATATGGCTATGCTGTTGGATAATGCAGCTTTTAAATGATCATCCTATACATTGTGAATAGTTGAACACTTTGTCCAACGTCTTTTGTGGTTTCTCTTCCTCCTAGATATAAAGTCTTAAACATGGATTCTGAGAGAGAAAGGAGCACAAGCCTAAGTAAGAAGGTAAGATTTCCATTCCTTCTATTCCATGCCTTCACATACCGAGGGAGTTTCCAGGAGCTCTAAGTCGCCCAGTGGATGCCTGGTTTGCTAGCCGAACTTTCCAAACATTTCCAACTCTAATCCTCAGGCATTCTATACTACCACCAGCATCCCCAAGACGGCAAAGGAGCAGTTGTCTCTCCAACTTTCACCCATACAAATGGCAGATACTCAGAAGCTAACCTAAGATCTAATATAATTCCAAATGAAAGCCGGAAGGAACACTTTGATGTCATGTCCTATAAATGGGGCAGATATAGCACATGCCTGTTCTTCCCTGTATCTGCAAAATGCTTTTCTGTCCTTCCCAACACAGCCTTCAGTCTTCTATAACATAGGGCACCAGCTATCTGCACTCATGTAGCTGGTGTTCTTCTGTAAGTTAAAGCACAGAAAGCACAAAAAGCTTCTTTTTGTCACATTTCAGTGTCTGTCCATAGTTAGCGTCATGAAGTAATCACAGGCAAAGGTCTGAAGGGTCAGGACTTTTGGAAAGAAGGTACCAGTCCATTCAGCCTTCCTGTTGTCTCATAGCAACAGGCTCACTGGGCTACACTGACCTATAACCAAGGTTCACAGTCACCAGAGTTGTCATGTCATCAACATAAATATTTCATTTAATCTCAGAAACAAGAGCCCATCTCTTTCCATAAGAGGAAATACCAGATGGTAACTGTGGTCCTGGAATCTACCAGATGTTTGCTTCTGTTGGATCATGCCCACATATTCTGTACAAGTCATTCTAGCTCCCAACATCACAGATGCCACTTAGCAAGTAAGACTCCTGAAATGTGCTAGATCTGACATTATAGAACCAAATTTAGCCTGTTTCACCATGCATTCTCAAAGGCCCATCGATGGGTTCCTTGTTCTTAACACCAACCTGAGAAAACTAGATGTTTCTTTCCAAAGTCTATTATGGTCCTATGAGGGTCCACTGGCCAGTGATGTTTAAGTGCCTTCATGGAGGAAAGGCTGCCTGGGCTCTGGTCACCTGCCATGTACTCCAGCTGCCTCAGGTCACAGCCATGGAATGCATTTCCAGTTCTGTTGACTTCAGAATGTGGTCAGAACTTTTCTTGCTCTTAATTTCACAAGAATGTTAATTATAAAGGCAGTAAAATGATGAAAAAACATTTTGGGAGAGATACGTTAAAGAAATCCAGAAAGCCTCATTATTTCGGTCCTTCTGAAACTTCTTGCTTAGACCACATCTGTGTGATTCCCGTGGGCTGTTACGTTCCTGCTGGTAAAGCAGAAGATGAATGAGCAGGTTAGAGAGCTAGGAATGTGGGCTCTGTGGCCCAGTTTGTAGGCCACTTAGCAGCAATATTTATCACCTTATTAATAACTATCTTCCTCTACCTTAGTTTATATCAGTGTGTGTGCGTGCGTGTGTCTGTGTGTGTGTGTGTGTGTGTGTGTGTAAAAACCACGTCTAGAAAGATGTCTCAGCTGCTAAGAGTGTTTCCTGCTCTTACAAGAGGACCCAAGTTCAGTTCTCAGCACCCAGTCACTCAACTCACAACCACCTTGAACTCCAGCTCTAAGGGACCTGACACCCTCTTTTGTCCTCCACAAGCACTCAAACCTATGTATGCAAAACCACCCAGTGACACAAATGAGTTTAAGAGCAAATAAAGTGAATCTTTACAAGGCAACTTTCATCTTTAAAAGTTACATCTGTTTGTACAAATGTCAAGAAATTGTAAGGTTTGTATAAACATAAAGTTCAACTGATGATTCACTAGCGTTATCTGGTTTATTTACTATTGGTGTTTCTTCCAGGATGGTTTCGTCAGTAAAGGGGCACTGAGGTTCAGTAAAAGGTAAGCAAGGTCTTTTTTTTTCTGGTAAACTTCCTGAAAAGCTAAGAAGCCAGGAGCCAAACCTAGCCATTCTGTCAGAAAGCAAAATCGAGACAAGGGCTGGACAAGTGGTAAACAATTTTAATGCAAGCACTTGGGAGACAGAGGCAGGAAGATTTCTGAGTCCAGGGCCAACCTAGTCTACCACGAGAGTTCCAGGACAGCCAAGGCTACACAGAAAACCTGTCTTAAAAAAAAATCTAGACAAGAATAACCACACACACACACACACCAGCAGACTGTGTTGCTCATGAATATCTCAATTCTAATGACTTGACTTCTGATCCAAAGACAACTGACAAACTCAACTTCCCATTGTCAGAGGTCAGCCACCTAGCAGTTGTGAGGAACAGAAATCTTGATTCCCACAAAAGATGTGGCCACTCTCACGTCTCCTCCCTTTCTCTTTCAGACTGAAGTAGCTTGATGCATGGAGTTCCCCAGTGGCAATGATAGACAGGAAGTGGGGAGGGGTCAGAGCCCCTAGATGCAAGTGTACACCTTCTAACGGCAGGCGTAACAAAACAGAGCACATTTGTGGAAAGAAATCCTTAATAAGTATCCAGCATGTAACATTTTTTTTAACTCTTTAAATGAACAGGGATCCAAGATTTGAACACCTGAGAACATATTGGTCCTGAGGGAAACACTGTGACAGCAAAGAACAATTAGTATTCATGAAGGCCCTCTACAGGCAAGGAAAGGTCAAATTACGTTCCATACAATCTACCTACAGAGGCATAAAGAAACAATATTTAAAGTGGGTTGAAATATGGTTTAGAAAAACTTCCATCAGGACAGTTAAAATTATTGGTGATTAAAAGGCAATTGTCTGGAAATTTTGGTTAAGGAAAACACCCTTTAATACCACATACATGAAGTATTACATGTTCCTGTGTCCTTACATAGGACACTCCCAAAACAATGAGCACAGTGTTCCCAGAGCCCATGGGCTGTTCCTCTAATCTGTAACACCAGAGTCCAGTAGGACTCCCTTTGATTTCTACCATATTTTATTCCTTAGAAGTAGCCATCACAGCCTGCCCACACACCAATGCATCTTAGAAGTAGCCATCACAGCCTGTCCACACACCAATGCATGCAGTAGGGGGAACTAATAAGGAGTTTGCAGATATTTAGTAAACCTGCACAGCATCTGAATGGGGGGAAAAAGGAGTCTCTTTCTAGACTTACTTTTGCTTTGTTGTTTGGCTTTTTGAGACAAGAGATCACTATGTTGGTCTCCTACTCATGACCCTCCTGCCTCAGTTTCCCAAGTGCTGTGGTTTCAGACATGTGCATTGCACTTTACTTCAGCACTTTTATTTATTCTAATCAAATAAAAGGTTGACAAACAAGATCTTACTAAAATTAAGAAACTTTATTTCCTGATACCTGAGAACCAGAAAACCATTATAAAGGTGGAAGCGTATAGAACATTACACAGGACCTACAGAAGGGATCTGTGTCCACAATATATAAAGAGTTCCTGTAAGTCAACAAGCACAAATCACCTAAAAGGTAAATGGGCAAGAGGAAGAAACCTGTGAGAACAACCAGCCTGTGGACAGGAGTTCAGCTTCAATATTCACCAAGGAAATGTGGAACGAGGCCAGACGAGTTCTTGTTCTATAATTGTTTGACTGACAGAATCTTAAGCATCTAGTAAGATCCTATTGGAAGAGATGTGGACCTACAGAAATCCATACATAGATGCAACTAACTACTTTGGAAAATAATTGTCCAAAAATGAATAAACAAGAGAACAAAATGAAGTTCCATGGTGGGAAGTGGAAATAAAGAGGGGCAGGTGGAAAGAATGACTGCGTGGCGGGAGCAGTCACGAGCTGCCTGGAACGTGAAGCCGTCAGAGGAGCTCAAGCCGGAGATTCTGCTCTGTTCCAAGTTTTCTAACCCCCGATTAATCATGTCTGTGGTTTCTCTTGCAGGATTTTTCGCTCCCTCTTGTTCTCCACACTGTTTTTCATCAGATTACTGGGGTACCTGATCTTCCATTTAAGTTTTATAAATCCCGACCTTCTGGTCAATGCACTGCCCAAGATACTGAGCAGAGACGTCTTGTGGAGGCTGCGATGTTTCCTCTTTCCATCTCTCACGCTTGAGACAGAAGACATGCTACCCCACTGATCCCAAGCTGTATCTGAGGGCAGCGGAAGGCAGAAGGCACGCAGGCTCACAAAGGGGAGGTGATAAAATCTGTAGAGACAAGAGGTGTGCCTCAGCTTTTCCCTTGAGATTGGCCTACTTAGTGACCATCTGTCTCCATGTCACTTTTTCAAGATTAACCTTGCCCAGTAAAAAACTCTGTCAATAAATCTCTGGATGGATGGGTACAATGCACAGTACACAGTGGAGAACAAGTCTGGTCAATTTTGGAATTCTATAGACACTTTGTAGAGTTAGAACTGACCAGGGAGTTCCATCGATCTCCACAATCTAATGACTGGAATCCCCACAGGAGCTCCCCCACTCCTTATGGCAGAATTTACATGAAAATCAAAAGTAGTGTCAGCTAACCTGCTGTGTGTGTATCACATACATGTCACAGCAGACACCCAGGAGACTACAGCAGAAAAATCATGAGCTCAAGACCAGAAGAGGCAATGTAGGAAGATCTTATCTCCAAAATAAATAATAATAATCAACCAAGATCTATGAATATAAGAGATTGTACTAGGTTGTAAGAGGCCTCAAAATGTCATCAGGGTTACATTTCTATTTCTTTCTCCTTGGTCATCCTCCTTTTCGTTCATGACTGTCACCACCATAAATTCCATACTACCTAATTAGCAGTCAGCAGAATGAAGCAGTCTTTGCCAATAGCTCTAATAGCAGAGCCCAGAGAACACAGACTGTCCATCTGATATAAACCACTTAACCCTATCTTACAATGCCTATGGCCAACAGGCCAGACTTTCCAATTGGTCAAGCCTGAGGCATGTGTCTAATTCCTTGGTGGGAATGGGAGCAGTAAAAAGGAGAAGAGGAGGAACAGGGGATTGGCTAGTGGATAAGAGCACTTTTCTGTGGAAGAATAAGCCAGCCCTCACGGGAAAAAAAAAAAAAAGTCAGCTATGCCTGCAAGCCCAGTGCTAAAAAAGACAGACAAATCTTCACTGGTCAAGCAGCTCAGCCAAAAGAGAGGCTTCAGATTCGATGTAGCCATGCCTGAAGGAAATAGAAGAGTAATAGAGCAGGACATTGGATGCCCTTCACTGTCCTCCACCAGTGCCTGCATACACACACACACACACACACACACACACACACACACACGGAAAAAAGTCTAGAGGACCAGGCTATCTAGATTGCATACAGTGTGTTTCCCACAGGAAAAAAAAAAGTCTGTGTTCCCAGAAATGGAGAGAGAAACGCTTGACAAGCAAAAGCAGACATCCCCTTAATCACTCCACTCTACACTCTAGCAATGAAACGTCTAAAGCTGGAGCCCTATCTGTCTCCCCACAAACAAAATTTATAAGTCCTCAAGATCGTAGACTGAGATACTGAAAATTCCTACAGACAGATCCGGATAAGACTCGTGTCATTAATCAGGTCTCTAGAGCTGCGATAAGCAAAGACCCTAAACTGCATACAACTGCTATAAACCACTTTTGAAGCTCAGGGCAATCTACATATGGCCGCAGTCTTTATTTTTCCAAAACTGCCAAAGCATCTTAGTGTCTTATTACAGGATATGTTTAGACCCTACCCACCCACCTCTGCCTCGCCCCCGCCCCGCCCCCGCCCTCGCCCTGAAGTGCTCCTTCCTTCCTACTCTCAGAACCCCTGACAGTTCTGGCGTTGGAAAGAACACGAGCTAGCTCAGTCCACTGCTATTGCTCCTTGAAACCACACGATGTCACTGTTGAGAAGTGAGCCCACACAAGGTGCAGGGATCATTTATTAAACAAATGAAGACACGCTGGCTAATAGAAAGCAATGCTACTGATAATATGAGCCAGGCAGGTTTGTTCCGGAAAGCTTAGAGGCAGCTCAAGACCCCATTCACTTGCGTGCTCTGCAAAGGCAGGTGAGTCCGTCCCGCAGGGCCCTGCACAGAGGCAGCCTGCTCAGTGTCTCAATGCTGTGTTTAAGACACTCAGCTCTGCCGTCCAATTCATTAGCACCAAGGTTAAGACTTTAGAATTAAGATGGATTCTAACTTTGATCTATCAGGAAAACTTTTGGTGACTGAAGCCAGCCTGTTCTCTGGAGATTTCCCCCTCTCCTGTAGTCAAGATTCCTTCTGCTTAGGGCCCTGGGAACCCAAAAGGTCTAGAAAAGTCATCTAAGCAAGCCTCCAAGGTACACATTTGTCTAGCAGTCATTTTTCCACACTCCTCCAAAATGCCAACTTGTAGAGACAATTCAGTCTAATAAAAGGCAGTTTTAAACCACTTATTTCTGTAGTCAGACATAAATTTAGTTCCTAAACTGCTGTCAGAGGGGTTGTTTAGGCAACACCTCTACATGCTTAAATTCCCAGAGAGTTATTTCAGTTCCCAAGTTCATGCTGCTCTTCTCTGAAGGATGAAAAGAACAGAAAGAGATCTTTTGTTAAGCTAAGGTTGAAGATACAAGAGAGGCATAGCATCTGTGCTTGAGAAGAGAAACATATACATGCAGTCATGCTGGGTCCTGTGATAGCAAACAGAGATGAAGTAATTTCCCATGATGATGTGCAACCGGTGGTTGACATGAGATCTGTGGGTTAAGCTAGACCAGCCATCCTCAACCTATGGGTCACGATATCTTTGTGGATCAAATAACCCTTTCACAGGTTGCCTATCAGATACCCTACACAGCAAATATTTGCATTACAATTTATAACAATAGAAAAAATTACAGTTATGAAGTAGCAACAAAAATATTTTTTATGGTTGGGAGTCACCACAACATGTGGAACTGTCTTAAAGAGTCACAGCATTAGGGAGGTGGAGAATCCATGCATTAGATGCTGATATGCGCTGCCACTACCAGCGACACCTTTGCAGAAGGATTAAAAACAGGAGTCATCGAGCAAAACAAACTGGGCTCTGCAGGGCAGTAGAGGGTAAAGAAAATTCAAAGTTGGGTTGGTAGGGAGGCGAGGGTGGGAGGGTGATCTATAGGAGGTTGGAGGATAGATATGATAGATACAATCAAAATACACTGTATAGAATGAAATTCTCAAAGAATTAAAAATCTTTTTAAAATCTAAGGCTGAGGAGATGGCTCAGTAGTAATATTCCTGCTGTAAAAGCACAAGGGCCTGAGATATCCATTTCTAGCATAGCATCTGTGTAACATACCTGTAACCCCAAGGCTGAGCAAACAGAGCCAGGCAGATCTCAAAGGCTTTGGGCCAATATGGCGGAAACTGGTTCAGTGAGAGACTTGGTCTCACGATGTAGAATGGTAGGGAAAGCAGTGTTAACATCAGCTTCTGTGCTCTTCACACACACACACACACATGCACACATGCACACACACCACAAGTCTATCTTGGTTAATATTTTCAATGAAACTAAACAGAAGTACCAAAAGCCTGCAGCAAATGTAGGCTGATCTCTGTGAGCTCAAGGCCAGTGAATTTCACAGGCTAGCCAACTACAGATCCTGTCTCAAATGATAGTGGACGACTTAACCTGTTGATTTGTGTGAAACTGTTAGACGCTGTATAACTTTGGCTTGTATCTTAATCCTGCATATCCTAAATGGTAAGGCCCAGCACATTGTTGAGTCCTGGAAGGCTCCCAATTCAGGCTGCATTACATACTACATTATTCCTTCCTTCCTTCCTGAGCCTGGTAGTCTGCTGCCACTGGGTAGTCAGTGTTATATTATGGATTCCCTTCTTGGCATGCAGAAAGACAAGGTGAAAGAATCCCATTACAAGCGTTCTGCACTGGGCTAGATGCGTCCACACCCTCTAATTTCATATATGTGAAACTCAGAATCGGAAATGGAAAATACACATCGTAATTTCAGAATCACTTATGTAAAGAAAATTTTAAGACTTTTTTCCCTTTTATGGATATTTTTTATCACTATATTTTCTCCGCTGGGGCTGAGTGGGATAATGCTGAGAAAATGGATCAACGCCATTGAAGAGGACTCAAATCTACAGCCCCAGCTTGGCATCTGTAGAGCTACTTCAGTCACTGTTTGAAATAAAGGTGAGTACTGAGTACAGTGTTTGAGGTCAGAACACAGCAGCTGAAGATTAGGAAGCATAGATATCTCCTCTTATCAGAGGCAAAGGAGCCAGTTTAGCAATAATAATAATAACAATAATAAAAATAGTAATAATATAATAGAGGAGAGACAGATTTTCTCGCCAGTATAAACATTAGGAGATGAACTGTTATAGTTACGACATCTCGTGAGTGACTTGAAATTTTAACTTTGTGATCCTAAGAAGCAGACATATCCTGGAGTTAAAGTGAATAGCATCACAACTTTTAATATTCCTCTGACAAAGGGTAGAACAAACCTCAGCTCCTGGGTGCCTGCTGTGAACTTGAGGCAAGACGCATATGCAGCATAAGAAAATCAGAGGCTACCGTCAGTGTGAGAGAGCTGCTGCGGCTGGCTAGCTGAGACCCACACACTGCCTTTCCAAACGGTGCCTGGTGCCTCCGTCACAGCAGACAAGCCGGCAGCATGGCCGGGCTCTTGCAGCAGGGAGGCCTCGATCCGACCACAGCTGCACATATTCTTCATGAACAGTAGAGGGCACTGTTCCCCGACACCTGGAAATCTCCAGCTCTCACTGGTTCCACTCTTCAGAGCTTGGTCTGTAGGGTAGAACATCAAGAGTACACGCAACAAAGTACCTAGCTACCAAGAACTAGCAATGCCTAGAGTCAGAATCGCTGTAATCCATGAACTAGGTGCCCCGAGGAGAGTTTTACCCACTATGTCCTTAAACTTACGCACTTTGAATTAGGACTTGCCATTCTGATAATTCCCCGAATAAATATCGCTCCACGACTCTACATACATTAAGATAAACAGAGGGCTAAATGGACCCAAAGCGCTTTCACTTGGTGGAGATGGGGGAGATAAACATACCCCCGCACTGCAGCAGCAACTCCACTTTAAGGAAGCTATCCTCCTCTGCGCCGACACACGGCAAATCC